AAAAAAAAAAAAACTCTGTCTCCAAAAAAAGTAGCTGGGCATTGTAGTGGGTGCCTGTAGTCCCAGCTACTGGGGAGGCTGAGGCAAGAGGATACCTGGAGCCCAAGAGTTTGAGGTTGCTGTGAGCTATGATGCCGCAGCATTCAACCCCAGGGTGACCAAGTCTCTGTCTCAAAAAAATTTTTTTTTCCAAAATATTCAGAGGGTACAAATGTTTTTGTTACATGTATACCACTTACAATGCTTAAGTGAGAGCTTTCAGTGTGCCTGTCACTTGAATAGAGTAATAGAGTTCATTGCACCTGATAGGTAAGTTTTTACACCTTCCCCTTCTTGATTTCCAATGACTTTTACATCTCTTTATACCTGAGTGCCCATTGATTAGCTCCCAATTATCCGAAAGTACAGGCAGTGTTTGTTTTTCCAATATAGCATATAAATATACATCTATATTTCTAAAGAGTGATGAAGCTCTCATTTGTGGTTTATTCAGGCAGTTAGAAAATGTGTTCTGCTGTTAGCATAGAAAGTCACATCTGCCACAAAGGGACAGAAGTTTCCAAAATATGTAATGACAGAGTTCAAGAGCTGAGCTCTGGGTGTGTTCTCACTCACCCTCCCTACCTCCCAGCACATCCTTGCTGCACAGCTGGCTCCTTGGGCACCCCTACATGAACGTCCCTGCTCTTTCAGAGGTAGCTGTAGCTCACTCTTCAGGGGCCACTGATTCAGAGCCCTGGGGGGACGTGTCCTTTCCTGCAGGTGTATTGCAGTGTATTGTACCAGCTGCAGTGGAGAAAGCCGAATGTAGCCCCTTGTCTGGCATCAGGGCCATAAGGACAGGTTCCCCTTTGCCCAGGGTATTCACTGAGGAGTTTCAGAAAAAGCCATCAAAGACAGAGGTGGCCAGCCTGAAGTCTTCAGTAGCCCCTAGCTCTGGAAAGGACCTAAGGGCTCACATGATCTACAGCACAAGAGTACTTATGGGTTGGGAAACTGTTTTCTAAAGAACAGAAGCTAAGATTTGGTTACTATTTTCAAACTCAATGTGCCATCGGTTGATGTGTGTGTGTTACTGTGGCCTTACATTTGGGGTTAATTACTCTTTGTCTTAAAATTTTCCCTCTCTGTATTTTGATGCTATGATTTTGGCCACATAAATTTCCATGAGCCAAGTGGAGTCTGACCTCATGGCCTGCAGACTGTGATGCCAGAGAGAGACTACAATAATTTTATTATTGTTGATACCTTTAACGAACATAAAAAACATTTCCATTTTTATTGTAATTATAAGGTATTTTACATGGGCTTGAATTTGTATGAATAGAAATACCATAAACTCTGCCTCCTTTATGTTTTTCATTTTTTCAAGAGTCTTTGTTCTTTTAATTTTAATATTTTTGTCGGTTTGTTTTATATATCAGGAGCCTAAAGCTTAGATTTTGTTTTACCTATATTTGCCCTTTAGAAAAAGGAACTTTCTCATTGATTTTTATCATCTTAATTAACTCATTTGTCTTTTCTTTTGTGTTTTTAGTCTTCTCCTTATTGGTATTTCTTGCTACTTCTCCTGTCTTGATATTTCTATATGAATTATATATAACTTCCTTTTAAAGATTCCCAGGCCAAAGGGGCCCTAGGGGATGGAGCTGGAACCTGAACTCCAGAGTGTGTGATTCTGGAGGCTGACCCCAACTCAGAGGGAGACCCTTAGAAGAAACTGTGGAAGGAATGGCTCTCCCGTGGAAGTAATGGCCTTGCTCAGCTCCCACAAGGACACTTAGAAGGTCCTGTTAGCAGAGCTAATTCATCCTGGAAAAAGGCCATTTACATTCATTTAAATAAAGCAAGGGCCAAAATTTCACTCTCAATAGACAAATAAGAAGTTTGATTATGACTTTTTCTTTAAAAATAGAGTGAAAACTATATAAGCTTATCTAACACTTATTAAAATATAGATTATAATTGTAATTACGTATGTGATAGTTCCTAAGATAGAAAAGGAGCAAACTTGAGTACTATTTGGGTGGCTTCAGGGTCTAATACTCCCGACAAAAGAGGAGGATGGGTCATCAGCACCTTCTTTACTTTGTAGAGCATGAGGAAAGTGTCTTTTGGGTTTTTTTTTTTTTGAGACAGAGTTTCACTATGTCCACCTAGGTAGAGTGCCACAGCTCACAGCAACCTCAAACTCTTGGGCCTAAGTGATTCTCTTGCCTCAGCCTCCCAAGCAGCTGGAACTACAGGTGCCCGCCACAAAGTCCAGCTATTTTTGTTGTTGTTGTTGTTGTCACTGCTGTTTAGCAGCCCCAGGCTGGCTTTGAACCTGCCAGCCACAGTGTATGTGGCTGAAGCCCTAACCACTGAACTATGGGCACTGAGCCAAGAAAATGTCTTTTTATTTAAAAAAAAAAAAAGCAAAGGATTTGTCTATTTGCCTACCTCTCTTAGTCCTTTGCTTTTAAAATCATTCTCTTTTACAGTGCCTAAGAATTGATTTTTCCCTTCAGTTTTTAACTGGAGAAGCTGCTGAACTGAACTAGATAATAGTTTTACTTGTGATTTGAGCAACTGCCCAGCATCATGTTCATCTGTTTCATGAAATCCCACTGTCATTTGCAAGATATGTCATTGATGTACATTGCATACTCATTGTATTGCTGCGTCTTGTTCTGCTCACATCTGACACACAGGGAGGGGCAAACTGCACCAGCTTGGTCTCTGCAGGAGACAGACAGCATACTCACTCAGACTGCATAATTAAGGAAAGTTTAATAAAGAAACCTTAAAAATGTTGTTGGGCAGGGTCAAGGGAAACCAACAAAGGATGCTGAAGGATATCTGGGTTGGCAACAGCAGGAAGTCATTACTAGCCACCCTCCTCCCCAGCCCCCACCTGTGACCCAGAGAGCTGTAGCCAGAGGGGAGGGCTGCCTCAAAGGAACTGTGACTTAGGTCACAGCCCATTCCCAGTGACCCAGCAGAGAGGGAGTTGGGAGGGCAATTACCTTGATTTCTCTCTCTTCCTGTCTTCTGGTCTCCTGCCAGCAACTCCCATTGGCCAAACCCAAATAGAATCTGGAGAGCAAGGGAGCCGCTTGATTACCTGATAAAGTTCAGCTTCCCAGGACAAAAGGCAGTATGGAAAGGCAGAAATTGGATATAGAGAAGCAAACAAAAATATCCATTATTCTTACTTAAAACATGTTGATTTGTTGACTCTGGAGACTCTGATGTTAAGTGGAAAGGGATGTTTGAATGGGAACAAAGTTTATAGGTGCTTAATTCGTTATGGATCTTCTAGTTTTATAACTTGCCTTTTCTGCATTACTTTTAACTATAGCAAATGGGATAATGAATGTTGGGTCAGTGTAATATCTGATAGTTTCCCTTCTAAAGGAATGCAGAAGAAAGTTTGCCTTCTATTTCAAAGAGAGAAGAAATGAATAAAGGGTAAATTGGACTTCTGGGGGGGCATATTTGTATATACACATATACATATAGAAAAATGTCACCTATGTGGCATGAGTGAATTTAATGAGTTAGCTAGCAATAATGGACATTTTGATAGCTGGAAAATACTTTTTAGCATTTTGAAGCCAAGAAGCCATTTTTAAGCTGTTAAGCCTTAACTTAAATACCAGTTTAATAATATTACATGATTTACAAGGTTTAATTAGCAAAATGGAAGTTTCAGAAAGGAATTAGATTTGCAATCAGGTTCCCTGTCCTACCATGCTTGTATCATGCTTAACTTCCAATTCCTTAAGTCCATCAGAAGATCTGAAATGAATGTCATCCATAATAGTGATCAAAATCTATTTAGCTGTGAGCTGTGACGCCATGGTACCCTACCCAGGGCCACACAGTGAGACTCTGTCTCAAAAAATAAATAAATAAATATCTATTTAGCTATATATATTCATGGTAATTCCCCTGTTTTAGAACATAACGATGTTAATGCAGGAGAATTAAGAGCAATAGAATACATCATCCTAATAAAAAAGCTTAGTCTAAGGTACATTTTCACAGAAATGCACTTGTTTGTAGCTGGTGAGTCACTTATTTATTTTCCAGATGTAGCTTAGCAGTATCTATCCAATTAGGAAACAGACCACTGAATGATGTTAAGGATTCTTCTGTATGTAAAACCCCTTCAATAGTCATAGTGATCTCTGGGAGGCTGACCGTGGCCCACGGCTCCAAGTCCTGAAGCATCCTCAGCCTTTTTGTTGTCTCTACTTGCTGTCTCAGAGCTATCCTGCACATCTGCACTAGTATAAACTATAAATCTTAGTTTGAGTT